TCGGTTTTTTGGAAACCCGATCCGGGTCACCGATCCGTTTTTTAAACCATTGGGTGAACTCAATGGTTTAAAAAACGGATCGATGACCTGGATCGAGCTCTCAAAAAACCGATCCGGATTGGCGAATCGGCGATCCTGATCGGGAATCGGGTGAATCGGTCAGAATAAAGCTTAAAAAAAATCCAAAAAAATTATTAAAATTCATTATAAATATTGTTTTTTAGGAATTCAATAAGAAATGAGGGTACGCTATTAAGAATTTTCATGTTTTTGAATGAACATGCGAATATTGACATGTTCTTTCCTTGCATGAATTGCCATTCAGCATTTAATTTACATCACACAAAAGTATAAACATAGAATTATCATGGAATAAGTATATCAACATATATGGACTACAATAAAGCATAAAATTAGTAACATATGATTTAAAAATAAAATGATAGACGACGTTATTGTTCTTCTTGGTCACGCTAGTGCCATTGATTGAATTCGTTTAACAATTCATTGATACGATTTAAAACCGAATCATCGATATTAGCAGACGTCTGACTATTCTCAAATCCCTGAGTGTTAGTGTTTTGTTGTATTCCCAATCTAAAATCCCCGAAGATTGTTCATCCTTCATGCTCACCTGCACTGTCGTGCTCATCCCTATACTGTTGCTGTTGAGACTCGATATGTGAATAATATGGTTGAGATATGGTGGCCTCAGAATCATCATCTTTTTTATTTTCTCTTTGAATAATATGGATTAAAAAAAAAATTAACAAATTTTCAAAAAAATCAATCATGGATTAAAAAAAAAAATCACAAATTTTCAAAAATTCTATCATGGATTACAAAAAAAAATTCGATTATGGATTAAAAAAAAAAAATCACTAATTTTCAAAAAAACTATCATGGATTACAAAAAAAAATTCGATCATGGATTAAAAAAAAAAAATCACAAATTTTCAAAAAAATTCAATCATGGATTACAAAAAATTCGATCATGGATTACACAAAATTCGATCATGGATTACATAAAATTCGA